ATGAATGACTTGCCTCCACATGCTCCTTTCTCCCATCAGCCCCTGAGAGTAGAGCAGTAATACCGCCCGTCCTCAACTACCTCCGAGCACCTACGTGGGCCTCGGGAGGTTTCCCACCCAGACCCATTTCCTCCTGCCAGCCACTGCCAGGCCATCCTGGGGGGGGGGGCGGGGTATGTGTGTGCAATAAGGTTCAATAAGGTTCGTTTTAACACCAACAGGATGAAATGTCACTGGGAAGGAAAGACATCTGCAGGGACCCGTGGGCTTCCCAGTAATTGGCTGAAGGACCACCCGCTGTTTGGATCGGCTATTCTGAGGCTCCCCTCTCTCAAGAGGCTCCGTGATGAGAGTACTGATCACTGTGCCTCGTTAGGCGACAGGGACTGAAGCTTGTCTCTTTCCAGTTACACGGCTGAACCCAGAATCTGCCAAGGAAAGGAAGCTGGAGGATGGAAAGGCTGAAGGACAGAAAAACAAACTCTAGGATTGGAGATGTAAGCCCACCATCCCCTGCCTTCCTGCAACACAGACAGGCACAGACACACACGCTCTCTGTCCCTCCTGGCTCAGCCCTGCTCTGAGACTTGCTCAGGGCCCCGGTTGGGAGTGGGGAGACAGCAAGCCCCTGTGGGTGATACCCACACATACATTGAGCTGAACTTGGCCCCACTAGGTGCAAACACTCCGCGGCGCGTAGCAGAGCCGATTTCTGCCTCACTGCCAGCACCCGGAGGCTTGACCTCCCCTTCTGAGTGAACGTGGTGGCAGGCAGCCAGGGCACTGACCTCCAACTCTCACCTCAGTGCTTCAGTGTTCGGCTGGCAGGCAGACCATGGGTCCCAGGTCATGAGAAAGGTGAACCCCGTTCTCCATGTGAAATGGGGCAGCAGAAAGCCTCGGAGCGAGCCTTGGGTGTCCACTGGCTCTGCCAGCCCCCGGCCACGAGCTTAGGCAAGTCTCTTTCTGTCTCTGGCTAAGGAGCTGTGAGGACCCAGGGAGTAAGAGCCCACAAATAGCTATTTGTTTAGGTTCCTTCTCAAAGAGGCTTGGTCATTGTGCTGGAGACGTAAATGTAATTATAGCCACATTTTATGATCTTTACATAATGTGGTGATTCGTCTCCTAAGACCTAAAGTCCTTCCTCCTCAACCTCACCCCTCACCCACATGAAGACGGGGATGCGAGGGGGCCGGGGGTGGCCGCGTGACTGCCCTGTGGTCCCAGAGCCCTAGTCTGAGTCAGGACCTTACTGCCCTGAACTAAGTCTGCACGTATTGGATGGAAGTATTGCAATTTGCGGTCCCCTCGTTTTCAGAAATTGGTTCTAGAACTTCTTACTTCCTAACCAGTCCCATAAATATAAAAGAGGCCCTGACAGAGACCCAGGTTAGCCTGGGCAGTCGATCATGGTCTTCATCTGGCTTCAGATACAACAGTTTTCGGAGCCCGTATTCAAAACCCTAAAAATATCCCTTTCTTTTGATCAGGGCGGCATCTGTCCTGGTCATCGGCCTTAGGCGTAGCCGGCCCGACCTATCTGCTTTCTCACGCAGCCTTCCCTAAAAAAGAAGAGCTGGTGTGAATAATTTAAACCCCATTCCCGCTGCCCTTTGCAGGTTTCCGACGTCGAATGATCATCATTTAAGCACCAGCCAGGGTTGCATGTCCTTCTCAGGAAAGTGACTTGGAGGGGCTGCAGATGTGCCAGGACAGGCCTGGGCAGGACAGAGGTGTGCCTGTGTGAACTGGACGCCTTCTCTGGGGGGCCCTTGGGAACTTTTGATGCCAGGCCCCTCACTCTTTCTAGCTGAAGTTGGACGCACCTCAACATATGCCTCATCTTTCATCTTTCCCTCTTCTCCTGGGGGACCACTTTTTAAAGAACCCTCACCGAGGATATACTTACTGACGAGAGAGAGAGAGAGAGAGAGAGAGAGAGAGAGAGAGAGAGAGAGGGGAGAGAGAATATTGATTGGTTGCCTTCGGTATGTGCCCTGACTGGGGATCAAACCTGAAACCTAGGCATGTACCCTGACCAGGAATCGAACTTGCAACCTTTCAGTACATGGGATGATGATCACTTTGGATTGAGCTCACAGAGCTAGACTCATGGTACTTCTCCTCTGGAGTTCCCTCCAGCCTTTAGCTGATTAAAGATTTTAAAAAAAAGTTAAGACACACATTGAAGAAAGATGCAATGAGACCAGGAAGGCACCTCCAGGAAGCACAGAATACTTTTAAGCTGCCTTAACCACAACACTCGCCTCTACATGGGAGCCTGGGTTTTAAAAGTCTGCTGTGTTGGCCCAAGGAAGATCTTACGACCACCTTCTTGCTTTAAACAATAAAGTGATGGATAATTCAGGGGCTGGGGGGCCAGGCCATGGATTCCTCAGGGTCCCCTGCTTCACCCGTGTCCTGTCCTTGGGCCAGTTCTGTCTTTGGGACTCTCGGTGGGGGGTGGGGGGGGCAAGGGAAGAGGACTCTGGGCTTGGAGTTTCCTGTGTGCTAGCAATGTCCCCACACTGCTGGGCTGGGCTGGGCTGTGTGCACGTGTGTGCATGTGTGTGCACTCGTGTGTGCCTACACCCACTTTTCCGGACCTCACTTGTGAGCTGGTGCCTCTCTGATGTGTTTGCTTAGTGATGTTGGACCAGAGAATCTTCAGTTCTGGGTGAGATGGAGGTGAACGCAGGCAGCGGTGAAGTGGCTCTGAGAAGGAAGGTATCCCCGGCCAGCAGCCCCTGTGCCCCCAGCCCTGCCAAGGCCTCCGTTGCTGACTCTCTGAGGCTGAGAGGTGCGCACCAGTCTGTAGGCAACCCCGAGGCCCTGCCCCTCCTTAAGTCTCATTCTTCCCTGCACAGCCCTGGGCACAGGCTTAGGCCCCCAACATAGGCCTCAGACCACGTGCCTGTCAGGCCGAGACTGGAGACTCCTGTTTTCTTACTGGCTCAGCCTAGATGGTGGACAGGTCCTGCAAACGGGTCACGTAAGAAGGGAGTGAAGAAGGGGAGGCCGTGGTCACGGCACAGAGAGCAGAGCGCTGTCAGTGACGGAGCCGCAGGCTTGCCAAGGGGAGGAGCTCTTGCACGAGACTGTGGGCACGGGGAGGAAGGGTAGAGAGGGCACAACCTTAAGGGGTTCTTCCCGCTGTCTGACTCCTTCGAGGCTCGACCTGATTCCTCATGGAGACCTGGGTTGGTGCTGGCCCTGCCCTTCCTTGCTGATGTTCGGTACCCTCCCCTGCCCACACCGGTCTTGGCCTTAGGAGGAGATTGGGGGGGGGGGGGGCCTGGCGGTGCACAGGAGTCAGAGGGTTGGTCTGGCAGGTCCTGAACTGGCCTCTGGCTTCTGCTCCCTGCGGTCGCCCTGGCCTCTCTCTGGACACCCTGAGCCAGGTGAGGAGAGCCAGCTTCCCCGGAGAAAGCCTGTCAAGGAGCCTGAGCTGCCCACACCGCCACCCAGGAAATGCTCTTGCCCACACAATCCAACCCGAGTCCGATCAGGCTTCTAGAGTCAAGTGTCAGGAGAACGCGTTAAATAACATGACAGGAAACGCCAGACTGGGAGAAACTATAGCACATATGACCTGGTTCCTTCAACAAATAAGTCACAAGGGAGAAAAAAGAGAGATTGATCAATGGGGGAGCTTAGAGACTAACAGAGACCTCGGAGACAAGTGGACCATTTTAATACATGGGCTAATTTAGATTCTAATGCAAACAAACTTTGTTTTTTTAAAGAACAGTTCATGGGTCAATTGGGGAAATTTGAAACTGTTTGGTTATTTCATGATATTAAGGAACAACTGTTAATCCTTTTTTTTTAAAGAATAGTTTGTTGATTTTTAGAGAGAGAGGAAGGAAGAGGGAGAGAGAGAGAGGAACTTTGCTATGAGAGCACAACACTGATTGGCAGCCGCCTGCATGCACCCGCGAGGGATGAAGCGGAACCGGATCAGGCGTGCACCCCTGACCTGGAACCGGCAACCGTTTGTTGCATGGGCAACGCCCAACCAGCTGAGCCACACTGGCCAGGGCACTGCTAATTGTTTTAGATGTGATAATAGTATTGTCATCATATTTTCTAAAAAAAGGGCCATAGGTTTTCCAAGTACACCCTGAAATGTTTACAGATGACCAGATGCCTGGGGTGTCAGGGTGGGGGAGGCGCCAGGTTCAGGTGGAACAGGACTGGCTCTGAGGTGAGTGTTGCTGAATCTGAGTGATGGGACGTGGAGTTTCACTATGACATTCTTTTCAGTTTTGCATGGCTTTGAAAATCACCATGATCAAATCTGGAAGGAGAGGAGGAAGAGATGAAGAGGAGCTAGAGGAGGAGGAGGAGGAGGAGGAGGAAAAGGAGGAGGAGGAGAAGGAGGAGAAGGAGTAGGAGGAGGATGGGGAGGAGGAGGAGAAGGGGAAGGGGGAGGGGGAGATGAGATGGAGGAGAAGGGGAAGGTGAAGGGGGAGAAGGATGGGGAGGAGGAGGAGGAGAAGGGGGAGGGGACAGGGGAGGGGGAGGAGGAGAAGGGGAAGAGGAAGGGGGAGATGAGATGGAGGAGGAAGAGGAGGGGAAGGGAAAGGGGGAGATGAGATGGAGGAGGAGGAGAAGGGGAAGAGGAAGGGGGAGATGAGATGGAGGAGGAAGAGGAGGGGAAGGGAAAGGGGGAGATGAGATGGAGGAGGAGGAGAAGGATGGGGAGGAGGAGGAGAAGGGGAAGAGGAAGGGGGAGATGAGATGGAGGAGGAGGAGGAACAGAAGCTGTGCCAGGACGGAGACTGCCCTTCTCCCTAAGGCCCTGGAGACAAGGCAACAGCCAATCCAAGGGCAGCGCAGCCTCCAGCTTCCTGAGGCCTCAGACTCCAGGCTGGGCCATGCTCCTTGATGGGGTTCTCAGTCCAGGAGCCTGGTTGGGGTACAGCTGGGCTCCCTGAGGCCCCCCCAGGTTTCCCTCCTTCCAGCCGCAGCGCTGGGCGTGGGGCAGCCGCACTCACCGTGGAGAGGCAGCTCCTGTCCTCCCGGATGATGGCACCGAAGCCCAGGAAGCCGGTCACCATGACAAGGGCGCCCGCGAAGATGAGGATGTAGGCAGAGGCGGCGAAGGTGCTGGAGGCCAGGACGCTGAGGTAGCCGCTCTTCTCCACCAGCGTCCAGACACCCACGGCCAGGACGGCGGCCCCCCCCACCTGCAGGAGGCCCGAGTCAGAGCGGGCGGCAGCTGGGCGCCGCCTTGGCCCCTGGGCAAGCCATGCTCCACCTCATTCAGTCCTTCAAAGAGCCTGGGAGGACAGTGGGTCCCAGTGGACAGGTGAGGAAATGGAGGCGTGGTGAGACCGGGGACCTGGCCAAGGTCACACACCTACTACACACCTGTGTTGCAGGGGCGGATTTTGAATCCAGGTGGGACTCCCCACTCCGCGCTTCTCACCACATTGCCTGTGAGTCTCTGTCCCCCGAGGGAGGGGAGACCTCTGTGTGTGAGCCTCTAGCCTCCCCAGGCCCAGCCACCCTGTGCCCCTCCTACCCCCCCCCCCCCCCCGGGAGGGGGGGGGGCAGTTCCACCTCTGCACTACAGGGGGAGAAAGGAGGCTCCCAGAGGAAAGTGAACTGCCTGAGGAACTGCCTCTGGTGAGGAGGGCAATTGGAGGAGGGGCTGGGACAAGACTCAGGATGCAGCCTCCGGGATTGAAGGGACCGGTACCCCACAGCTGGGGTCTCTCTGGGACTCGGAGGACTGGGCAGGAGATGTTTCTTCCTGCTAATTGTCTGATTCCCTTTCAGCCCTGAGAAGGGGCAGGGACAGGACAGTACTGACTGGCAGGTCAGGGTGCCTCCTTAGGAAGGGTCCCTGGAACAGAGCTGGGGGCCTCCTTTAGGGGTCAGTTCTCCTCCTCGGATGGATGAAGACTGCACAGCGTCCCATCAGCCCCAGGACTCTCTGCATGACCCACCCTGTCATCTAGCAGCTCTCTGTTCTCAGGAGTCACAGGCATCAGCTGAGCCAATGGAAGGGCGTTCTTAGCAATTAATATGCACGAGGCACCTACATTACTCAGCGTACCATTTTACCTTCTGAGGGCTGCAATGGTTCTGTGAGGATATGGGGGGGGGGGGGGGGGGAGGAGGACACATTTTTGTTTGCAGAGGAAGAGGCTGAGGCTTGGAGAGAATAGAACATGCTCAAGATGACAGCATTTGGAAATTTCAGAATTGAGATTCAAACCCAGGTCTTCTGAGGGCGGATCCAGGACTTTGTCCGTGGGTCCCCTAGATTGGGCTGTGCCTGCTCTGCTACTAATTTCTGCTTTTTAAGTAAACAGTGTTCTTCAAAGTGTCGTTTCATCCCCCTTAGCACCTCCAGCAGGTAAGAAAACCAGGTGGAAGAGCCCACAGCCGTGCAGCTCTGAACGGAGCGGGAGAGCCTAGTGTGAGACGCTTCAGCTCCATTTTTTCTCACATTTTACATATCTAACATTGACATGCATCTTGGGATTAATGGCATCGTACAGTTATACTGGGCAGTACTTTTTCTTAGTGGTACAGAAACCAATGATGTCTCTCACAGTTGATGGTGTCTCAGCTTTGATGAAATCCCGGACTACACTAGGCTTGTAAATTCTCGGTGAGTGTACGCTATCTCTGGCCCACACAACCCCATGGCCAGTGAGCCATTTCCAGAGTCCGGTCTATGGAATTGTGATAAGTGTGAGTTTCCAGCAAAATGTCCTGCACCTTTCCTTTCTGCTCCTGCAGCATGCCTAAGGGGAAGGGCCCTAACTTTGCACAACTAGCTGTGCGACCTAAAGCCAGTCCCATAACCTCTCTGGGCCCAAGTTTCTTCATCTCTAGGGTATTATATTAGACCGGTAGTTGCCAACCTATAATCACCAAGGATCCCTTTGATTACTTTGTTCCGTGGATCTTACATTTTGAAGGTTTTTGCCTACCAAACCCAGTGCATTAAGTAATAATTCATTTCTCATTTTTTATTAATCAAAGGCAGATGCTAGTGCCAGGACGAGATTCTGAGCAGCATGAAACAGTCCATGTGACCATATCGAGTTGATCTAATTTGTAATTGCTGTAGGCTCTTTATAGACGTCTGCTCACTATCCATTACCCATTAGGCTTGTCAGCCCCACAGCTGAACATTGGGCCTGGCACCTCCTTAGGGGGCACATTTGGGCTGGACTGGGGACACTTAATCGGTTTGGGGACATGGAGCCCACTGAGAATATGATAAAAAAAAACAACTTTGGATGCTTTGCCCAGAGAAATGGCCATCCATTTAAAATAATGCATTCAGATTTGGGTGCTAGAGCCCAGTCTGTACCATGCAGCGAGGCCTCCTCCACCTCTAAGGCAGTGATTCTCAGCCTGGCTGCACAGTCACCTGGGAGCTCTGCAAAACCCCAGCCACACCCCCGCCAGGTGAAATCGCTGGGAGTGGGACATGAATATTTTATTAAGTTTCCAGGTGGTTCCAGCTGAGAACCACTCACTGTGTAGATGTCAGATTTAATGGAGGGTCACAGTGTCCTGCCCCTCTCCCCCAGGAGGTGGTGCTGTGCTGAGTCTCACAGACCACATGGCTTCCAGGAAGCTTTGGGCCTCTTAGCCTGGGGGCAGGTGTTGGGAGAGCTTCTGACATTTGTCCAGGACTTGAGCTCCAGCCTGTTCTGGCTGTGTTAGGGCATTTGCTTTGGTAGGAGCTTTGGTGTAGAAGGTGAAAATATGAGGAGCAGAATTTTCAGTCCAAAGGGATGAAAAGCAAATTATGCAAGAAAGGAAAAAATCCGTGGCTCCCCAGGAAGGAGTGGGGGACTCTGAGAAACGCAGCCCCGGGAGAAGAGCAGTGCTGATCGCACTGTGGGAGGGCTGCTCTCGCCCACAGCTTGCCAGTCGCAGAGAGGGCTGGAGCCTGCAGGTCAGCCAGGTGGCAGCAGGGTCAGAAGAAATTAGGAAGTGAGTGAGTCATTGGGGATCCCTCCCTCCGCTGGGGCATCATATCTGGCGAAGAAGTTAGTGCCTGCAGGGGATACCAAGTGGTATTTGCCATCAGGAGCAAGAGGAGTTCAAGTCCAGGCGTTTCCTGCTTGGGACTCAGTCAGTTCTTTAGAAAAAAGTCTCTCCTCTGCACAGGAAAAGTAAAAATTGTGAACTGTTGGAATGGGTCACCGGAAGGTCTTGGGAGGGTGGAAGTCAGCAGGCCTGGCTGTGCCCCTCACTAACCACGTGACTGTGTGCCAGACGCTTCTCCTCTCTAAGCCGCAGTTTCTTAATCTGTAAAATGGTGGTGCTGGATGAGATGAGTTCGAGGTCCCTGCCATGTGGGTAAGTGTCCCTATTACTTACCAGGGGAACAACCTTCTGCCAATACACCCCCAGCAAGATGCTTCTGGGCCAGGGGCTCACGGCTTTCACCCACTGTGTGGAGAGGGCCCCGTCAGCAGAACGAGCAGGGGGTGGGGGGGACTGAGAGGAGGACAGAGTGGGAGGGGAGAGACCTGACCCCAAAGAGCTATTTCAACAGCTATTTGCAGAGTTGATCCAACAGTATCAGACTCTACAGAAACTGGGTTGATTTTCTGTGGAATATTAACTACATTTTCAAAACCAGAGCCCATAGCCGATTAGCTAGGATACCCTGCAGAGGGTGAGGCTGGCCTTCTTACCAAAGAGGACACAGGCAGGCCAGGGAGGCAGGCAGGTCACCCATGCCATGTCATTTCAGGAACCTCCCATTAATAGAAAAGGAACTTTGCCAAAAAGTTGCTCATGTCATACGGGAGAAGGATTAGCCAGAGTCCTGACAGACAGCAGGCAGCAGACAGGAGAAAAGCAGGCGGGGAGTGTAGAGTAACTGCAGGACGTTTCTTTGTCAGGATACCGAAAGGTTTCTGCGCTGGGACGGGGAAAGGACCGGTGGGTGTGCAGGGGTCAGGAGCCCCTGGGAGGAGAGTTCTCTGCCTTCATGCGAGGGAGGCCCAGGGGGGCCGCGAAGCTCACTCATGGCAGCGTCTGCTGGGCACCTTCTTGGTGCAAGCACCACACTGGGCTGGCAAGGGTTCTGGGCAGGATGTGTGTTCACCAGTCACCACCACACTTGTCATCTATGCTCCTCCTCCCCTGGGCAGTCTCACTGACAGCACCACCGCCCACCCAGACCAGAGCCCCTGGGTCCCTACGGACTTCCTCCTCTTCAGAGATGGTCAGGTGCTAACCACACCCCCTCCACTGAGCCCCGCCATGACCTGCATTGCCCAGTTTGGCATGCGCCCACCCCAACCCCCACCCCACACCTGCCTCCTGGCCTCTGCTCCACCCAGGGGCCAGCTTGTTGTGCTGAACCAGCAGGCATTCCCGGTGACAGAGCGCCTGAGGTCCCAGACCGGGAGCACGAAGCCCAAAGCCCGGAATGGCCCCGAGGCCCTTAGATCCAGCTTAGCCTGATTTTTGGCTCCGTCTTCTGCTACTTCCCTTCCTCCTCACCTGGGCTTTAGTTACTATGAATGAGTATTTGCTTTCCTGGAAGCACTGCAGGTGCCCACTGACTGTGATAGCAGGGTAGAGTGGGGACGAGGCCAACCACCGGTGCCCGAGTCCCAGCTCCCCCATTGGCTGTGTGAATCTGGACAAGTTACACGGCTTTTCTGGGCCTCGGCTCTCTCATCTCTCCTCGAGCTCCTGCCTTTCTCTTTTGTCTGCCCTTCCTCTCCTGCCTCTGGCCCTGGGCCGGGGAGTTCCTCAGCCTCCAGTGTAGCTCTCAGCATGGGAGGGAGCCGCACCACGCTCCCCTCAGGATCCCCAGCCCCGCACAGGGCCGGGCACACAAGAGCCACCGCAGTGGGGTGGACTCGCGGATGGGACTTGTGCAGAGGGCCAGGGACATAACGCCGTGTGCTGCCCCCACTGCCTCTTCAGGCTGAGTTCTGGGGCAACGGTATTAATTCTCTTCCTTGCTTTCTGGCAATTTTTAATTTCATGGGGAGTCTGAGTCTCAGAGAGGCTTTTCTGCCGGTCGCTAGGAAGCCCTTGAATGGCTGGGCAGCACCCATGAGTTCCTAATGCAGCTGAATGCTCCCCACTTTCTCTTTCATCAGGCACTCACTGCACACCTACTCTGACCAGGCACTGTGCCAGTGTGGGGCCCACACTGACACTGTCCTGCCCCATGCTGCTTGCA